GAAAATCGCTTCAAGGAAATGGCAGAATTGAACTTTGTTGCAAGTTCACATGGGAAATCTGCTTACGACGAGATTAGAGGAAATTTTAAGAGACTGGCAGCTAGAGCAAGTATTCAACTCCTGATGTTACAACAAATTCGTACACCCGAAGCCCTCTGTCAATGGGATGCCTGTAAAAAATAACTGCAACTAACTTTTCAGTGGACTTTATTTTGACTATGACTACGTGCCAATTACTTTAATCTTACTTTAAGCTAGTTTAAAAGTTTAAATAACATCAAGTTAGGGAGCTTTTCATATCATTATTTAACGAATCTTTAAATCAATAAATAATTGTTTTCCTTTTAATTCTTATTGTAATAAAAGTGTGTTGTTGGTTTTTTTTTTACCCATAATTTTATTACTCATTAGGTTTATTTTTTTACACACCTTTCCATATTCTTGTTTTAATTAAAGGACTAACCTTCAAGCTATCATTAGGGATCTGATATTCGTTTGGAATGATAGCTTCAAGGTTAGTCCTTTTATTAAAACAAGAAAAAGGAAGGGTGTGTAAAAAAATAAACCTAATGAGTAATAAAATTATAGTTAAAAAAAACCTTCTAAACTAGCTTAAAATAGGACTAAAGTAATTGGCACGTAGTCATGGTCGAAATAAAGTCCACTGAAAAGTTAGTTGCAGTTATTTTTTACAGGCATCCCATTGGCAGAGGGCTACGGGTGTACGAATTTGTTGTACCCTCAGGAGTTAAAGACTTGCTCTAGCTGCTAGTCTTTTAAAATTTCCTCTAATCACGTCGTAAGCAGATTTCCCATGTGAACTTGCAACANTCGTTAAATAAGGATATGAAGTTCCCTAACTTGATGTTATTTAACCTTTTAAACTAGCTTAAAATAGGACTAAAGTAATTGGCACGTAGTCATGGTCGAAATAAAGTCCACTGAAAAGTTAGTTGCAGTTATTTTTTACAGGCATCCCATTGGCAGAGGGCTACGGGTGTACGAATTTGTTGTACCCTCAGGAGTTAAAGACTTGCTCTAGCTGCTAGTCTTTTAAAATTTCCTCTAATCACGTCGTAAGCAGATTTCCCATGTGAACTTGCAACAAAGCTCAATTCTGCCATTTCCTTGAAGCGATTTTCATGATTTCAGACCTTTGGTAAAGTTAATATGATTTATTCATGTTGTTTTCGTTTTTCACACCCATTACGCCCATTTGGGTACTTAAAGTTGACATTATAGACAATGTTTCTATGTAAAAAAAAAAA